GGAGGGTAGTGATAGGGTATGGGAGAGGGGGATTAAAAGGGAAGAAGGGGAGAAGAGAAAGAGGAAAAGGGAAGGGAAGGGAAGAAAGAGAGGGGAAGAAAGGGAGAAAGGAAGAGGAGAAAAGGGAGTAATAGCATGGTATAATCGAGGGAGAGAGAGAGGGGGGATAAAAGGGAAGAAATAAAGGGGAATAAAAGGGAAGAGGGAGAAGGGAAAAGAACAAAGGAAGAGCAGAACAGGAGAAAGGAAGGTGTGAAGAGGAAATGGCCGAGAGAGAGAGAGAGAGATAAGATAATTAAAGAGAGGGGGGAGGGTGAGAAGGGAAGGAGAAAAGAAAGAGAAAAAAAGGAGGAATAAGATAATGATATGGGCAATGGAGAGGGAGAAGGGAAGAAGGAAAAATACAAGAAGGGAAAAAGGGAAAAGGAAGATGGAAAAGGGATGACGGAGAAGGGAAGAAAGGGAGGGAGAAAAGAGGTAATTCTCATAAAAATGGAGGAAAGCAAACCAATAAACAAATACACGCAGGCACACACACACACACACACACACACACACACACACACACACACACACACACACACACACACACACACACACACACACACACATACACACACACGCACACACACACACACACACATACACACACACGCACACACACACACACACACATACACACACACGCACACACACACACACACACACACACACACACACACACACACACACACACACACAAACACACACACACACAAACACACACACACAAACACACAAACCAGTGATCTCCAAAAGAATTACAAAATTTACAATACTACTACTACTACTAATAATAATAATAATAACGATAATAATAATAATAACAATAATGATAATAATAACAATAATAATAATAATAACAATAATAATAATAATAACAATAATAATAATAATAACAATAATAATAATAATAACAATAATAATAATAATAATAATAACAATAATAATAAATTAATACAACAACAAAATCCAGCACAACTCACAACTCCAGAACCTGGTCGAACACAGCCGGGTCCTCCTTCACCAAAGTGGTTTTCTGGGGTTCACTCTTGGCGAACCAGTACTTGGGTTCGACTCTCGCTTTGACCAACACCCCTCGATGCTGCCCCGGCGCCTGGATCACGTGCACGCGCAGACCCGTCTCCACGAAGGCTAGCTGCGGGAGGGGGGGGGGGGAAGTGGATGAGTATGTGGAGGGGAAGTGGAGGGGGGGAGGAGGGGGGAGGAGGGGGGAAGAGGGGTGGGGGGAGGGGGGAGGGGTGGAGAGGAGGGGGAAGTGGATAGTTATGTGGATAGAGAGGAGTAAAAGTGGATGATTAAGGGAATGAAAACCAATACCGATGGTCATTCTTTACATCAATTTCTCTATCAAAATTTAGGGCAAACTTAACCGACCATTCAAGCTAACGATCGTCTGCTAATTAACTTTTTTTTTATAAGTCAATCAATAGACATTCCGATCCGTCTGCTTGTCAAGCATTTAACGACCTGCGCTGGCGACTACCACCCATTTCTTAAGCCTTACATCACCGACTACCCTTCGGTTTCTACGGATTATATTAACAACTACCTTTCTGTTTCTACGGATTATATCAACGACCATTTTCCTTTCTAACGACTTTCATCAACGACGACCCCATCCATAGACTACTTACACTACCAACCATTACCCTCCCCCCCCACCCCCACCCCATGAACGCCTCACATTAATAACTACCAATCGCCTCCCACGACTCACGTTAACGACTATGAAAGGCGCAGTGGCACTGGACGACTCCCGCTCCTGCTGCCGGAGTCGCTCGTGGTAGTAGAGGGCCACCAGTTCCTCCGACGTCGCTCCGAGGATCTTCAGGTCCTCTTGTAGCGTCTCGTAGTCTGTCGAAGGGGGACACGTGACTGTTTCATGGATTGGTTGGTTTATTTACTGAAGTGTGTAATTTCAGTTTTGATATTTGGTTGAGGTTGGGCTATGAAAATATATGTGTGGGAGGAAAGATGATCAATGTTTTTTTTTTTTTTTTTTCTCTCTCCCTTTTCCCCCGTCTCCCTCGCTCCCTCCCTCACATCTCTCCTTCCTCCCATCCCTTCCCTCTTTCCCTCTCTCCCATCCCCTCCTTCCTTTCCTCCTTCCCATCCATTCCCTCCTCTCCTCCCCTCCACTCCCTTCCCTCCTCCCCTCCCTTCCTTTCTTCCCTCCCCCCTCCCTCTCTCCCATCCCCTCCTTTTTTTTTTACCTTCCTCTCATTCCTTCCCTCTTTCCCTCCCCTCCCTCCTCCCCTCCTCGCCTCCCTTCCTTCCTTCCCTCCCTCCCTCCCCTCCCATCCCTCCTCCCCTCCCTCCTCCTTCCCTCCCATCCCCTCCCTCCGTCCCCGAGACCCCCGGCCTCACCTGTAGTAGCCGCCTGCGTCAGGTGAAATCCGACGCCCTGTTGATCAGTCAGGAAAGTGTGCGCCTTCGTCAGCACCTCACGCAGCTTCCGGAGTCTCTCTCGCCATCCGCTCTGCGAGGGAGATGATTAGATAGTGTGTGTAACCGTTAGAACAGCTGCCGTAAAGGTAAGTAATTGATGTGACTGATAATTCATGGATTAGTGAGTTTGCGTGCATATACACGATAAATACATTGTGTTGGTCATCAAAAAAGTCAGATGATATAAGCACAGACCCCTGATTTAAAAGCTAGACAAAACTGCACCCTTTATCACTACCTGTCTCACCACCGGAATACCCAAACAACCCTACACACAAAAAAACTACATCTTTCTGAAAAAAACTAAAACAATAATAAACAAATAAATAAATAAATCAAGCTAAAAAGGGGCCCCTTCATCCCGCGACCTCACCTTCACGTAGACTTCCTTGAGCAGCATAGCGTGGCGGAACAGCCGGACCCACAGCTCGTGCAGCAGCGGCTCGGCGAAGTAAAGGCGGTCTTCGACGGGGAACAGCGCCTCCTCCAGCCCCTTCTGCACGCTCTCGGGGCCTCCTCTCGTCACGCCCCTCTCCAGGATCTGCTCCAGGTGAGGGAGGCACTGAAGGAGAGAGAGAGGGAGAGGGTGGTTATCTGAAGGATGGAAGGGGAGGGAGAGAGAGGAGGAAGAGAGAGATGAGGAGGAAGGAGGGAACAAGAGAGGAGGGGGGAAGGAGGGTGGAGTAAAGGAGAAGGAAGGGGAGAGGGAGTAAGGGAGAAGGAAGAGAGGGGGGAGAAGAGGAGAGAAGAGAAAAGAAGAGGAGAAAAGGGGAGAGAAGGAGAGAGAGAGAGAGAGAGAGAGAGTGCGAGGCGCAGAAGGAGACTGGGAGAACAAGAGAAAAAAGAAAGAGGAAGAACCAATGGAGAAATATAGACAGAACGACTGAAAAATAAGCACATAGACAGACAGACAGAGAACACTTACCGTCTTCAACAATTCCTCAGCGCTATCGTCAATATAGGACTGGAGTTGCTTGCTCCTCTCCGTCAAATCCAGGCTTTTCTGCCGCCCTTCGGGATCCACGCACATACTGGACAGCTGAAGGAGATGCTTCCTCGTTTCGTCACAGACATGCTCTACGTTTCTTACCACTACACACACCTGCAGGTTAGATTGATTGTATATTTTAGAAATAAGATAAAAATGGTGAATAATCTTCGATGTTTTGAAGCCTTAAAGAGACAAAGGTGTAGTGAGAGTCGCGGGACGATTGGGAAGTTGCAAGAAAAATGAGATGGAGTTGCACGACTGTCATTAGAAGCAGGTGTTGCGAGAGTCTTTGGACATCCGTGCAACTTTACTGTTGGATTGTGGATAATTTCTCTAACCGCGGCACGATGCAACCAAAATTGCGTTTCAGGATTGTCGTTCGGTTGTTGCACGACAGTCGAGCAACTTCCGACCGAAACTCCGATTATTGTTCGTAGAGTCGAATGATGTTCTGAGACAGTTGCGAGGTGATAAAAAATTGTGTTGCACAACTTGGTGTATGTGAGGCCTAAACACAGACAGTATGAAAATCACTTTATTATGTTGATGGTATGTAATATCTATTACGATTGAATAAAAAAAAACAAGAACAAAAAAAAGATTATCCTTCTATATATAAGTATAGAGAAAAAAATACAAAAGAACAAATGAAACTTACAAAAAAGCAAACAACAACAACAAGAAAAACAAAGAAATACAAAATACCCCCCTCAAAAAAAAAAAAAAAAAGAATCAATAAAAAAAAAAATCTTAAAGAAACGCCATTTGCAACAAACCTCAACAGAAATCTTATCAGTGCAACCTCCTCGTATGTTATAAGCGTCGGTCACTTTGGCCTTATACTGCAACACGAGCTCCAGCAAATGGCCAGCGATGGTGTCCATGGTCTCCACACTTGGCCCGACGCCTCCTGGCCAACTGACGGACGACAGGCGCTTCATCAGCTGAGGAAAGGAGGAAAAAATGAGGCTGAAGGAAAAATGAGGAGGAAGGGAAAGTGAGGAAAGGAGGAGAAAATGAGGCTGGAGGAAAAATGGGGAGGAAGGGAAGGTGAGGAAAGGAGGAAAAAATGAGGCTGGAGGATAAATGAGGAGGAAGGGAAAAGTGAGGAAAGGAGAAAATGAGGCTGGAGGAGAAATGGGGAGGAAGGGGAAGTGAAGAAAGGAGGAGAAAATGAGGCTGGACGATAAATGGGGAGGAAGGGAAAGTGAGGAAGTGAGGGAAAAGGAATCTGGAGGGAAAATGAGCCTGAAGGAAACAATGAGGAAAAGGGGGAAAAGAGAAGCTGGAGGACAAATAAGAATGAAGGGAAAATGAGGAAAGGAGGAAAATTAAGGCTGGAGGACACATGTGGCTCAGGAAAGTGTATACTGTTATTTTTGTTATTGCTTGTGTCAGTTGTTTTTCGGAATTTTGTAGAGGATAGTTACAGTTTGTATGAATGTATGTATGGATGTATGTATATTTTGTGTGTATGTGTATGCGTGTAGCATGAGTATATGTGAGTGAGTGAGTGAGTGAGTGAGTGTATGTGTGTGTGTGTGTGTGTGTGTGTGTGTGTGTGTGTGTGTGTGTGTGTGTGTGTGTGTGTGTGTGTGTGTGTGTGTGTGTGTGTTTGCGCGCGTGTGTATGCTTGTGCACGTGCGCATTTATGTGCGTGCGCTTGTCCGTTTACGTGCCTGTATGCGTGTGTGTCCATTCGCGCGTGTGCGTGCATATCCCATATCAATCTGCGCGAAACCAATAACCCCCCCCCCCCCCCCAGCACCGCCCACCCCCACTCACCGCCCTCAGGAGGTCCACCACGCCCACGGCGCTCTGGCTGAACCCCTCCATGTCCTCCAGCGCCACGAACTCGTCCAGGGCCACCTCGCGCTCCAGCTCCCCGAAGGCCAGGTGCTTGCTCAGGGCCAGCCAGTGGGTCAGGCCGCTCGAGAAGCTGTGGCGGTACTCCTGCGGGATCAGGTGCTGCGGCAGGTCGCTCTTCACGGTCAGCCTGGCGGAGGGAGAGAGGTGGAGGAGGGGATTTTAAGGAGGTTTGTGAGAGCCATTTACGTGTTTTTTTTCCGGCTAATATATGAATGAATCGATAATGACAGGCGTTGCAACAGTTTAGGAAATTGCAGGTTTTAGGAGGTGGTCTTGAGAGGAATTTATACATTTTCTGATAAAATTGATAAATAAATTGATTAATTAAGGTCTTGCAACAGGTCCCTCTCAAAGGTCAGTCTGGCGGAAGGGAGAATCGTTAAGTATTTTCGAAGATTTAGAGACCATTTAATAACGTTTCTGATTAACAAACAATAAACAAACAATAAAAACAACAACAAATAAGGAATAAAATAAAGGCATGTTTTGTTACAGGTCGCTCTTACAGGTCAGTTTGTGGGAAGGGAAATTTTCGAAGGATTTAAAGAGATATTCATACATTCTCTTGATATAAGCCCACCCAACAATTCAACAAACAAACAAACAAACAAAAATAAATAAATGCATAAAAAAACTGGTCTCTTATTAATTATTTGTTATGATTCATTCATTTATTTATTATTATCTAATTAATTATCCATTATTAACTATTTATTTTCTTATCATTATCCAAAATTATTAATTATTTATTCATAATTATCCAGACTCTTTATTATTCAAACTTATTATTATCTTATTCATAATTATCCAGACTCTTTATTATTCAAACTTATTATTATCCAATATCATCCAAACTTATCAGTTAATTGTTTATCATTGTCCAGACTTAATCCTTATCATTCATTTATCATCATCCAAATTTCTTCTTTTCATTATCATCCAAACTTATCAGTGAATTATTTTTCATTGTCCAAATTTATCAATTATCATTTATTTATCACCATCATCCGAACTTATTAATAATTCATTCATTATCATCCAAACTTCCTCTTTTCATCATCATCCAGTCTTATCAACTATTCATTAATAATCATCATCCAGTCCTATTAAGCATTCACTAATCATCATTATCCAATCGAATTAATTATTCACTAATCATCATCATCCAAACTCACTTATTAATCTCGCTCAGGTGATCGCACAGCATCCACGCAGCTTTGAGGGCGCCGGGCAGGACCTCCTCCTTCTGCTGTAGCGGGAGGCCCTCGTCCACGTCGAAGTCCAGGAGGGGTTTGACCAGCATCTGCGCCGCCGTCAGGAGCTTCGGCATCACCAGGTACAGGTAGTCGACTCCCATCTCGCTGGTGGAGGGAAGGAGGGGAGGGAAGGAGGGGAGAGGGGATGGGAGGGTAGGAAGGGAGAGGGGATGGGAGGGAAGGAGGTGGAGGGGAGGGGAGGGGATGGGAAGGATGGGGGATGGGAGGGAAGGAAGGGAGAGGTGGGGGGATGGGGGAGAGGAGGGGAGGGGATGGGAAGGAGGGGAGGTGGAGGGGATGGGAGGGAAGGAGGGGAGAGGGGATGGGAGGGAAGGAGGGGAGGGGAAGGGGAGGGGAGGGAAGAGAAGGGAGGGGAGGGGGATGAGAGGGTATAAGAGAGTAGGAGAGGGAAGGGGAATGAGAGGGGGTGATAGGGAAGGAGAGGAAAGGGGGGAGGAGAAGGGAGGGAGGGGAGGGGAGGACAAGTAAGGTGTTATAACTAACTGACTCACGCGTTACGAAAATTACCGCATTATATCTAATAGTTCTGATCACCTTTTCGAAACTTTCATTCAAAACCGATACCCATCACCCATACCACTTATCTACAACAATAATATCCATTATTAACTATTCATTTTCTTATTATTATCCAACCTCAATTAATTATCTATCCTTATTTATTCAAAATTATCCAAACTAACCGTTGTTTTAGTCAATAGCTTTTTTTTCATCTTTGTTTTAGTCAATATCTTTCTTTTTTCATCTTTGTTTTAGTCAATATCTTTCTTTTTTCATCTTTGTTTTAGTCAATATCTTTCTTTTTTCATCTTTGTTTTAGTCAATATCTTTCTTTTTTCATCTTTGTTTTAGTCAATATCTTTCCTTTTTTCATCTTTGTTTTAGTCAATATCTTTCTTTTTTCATCTTTCTTTCTTCTACAACAACAACAACAGCATCTAGCTCCTCAATACTCACATCATGAGAATGGGCTGATACGTGTGCAACGAGATGGCCAGGAAACTGAGGATCGGGTTGGTGAGGAATCCAGCTCTCCGGAGGGATTCCTGCCACACTTGCCACTCGGTAGGAACCTCCACCACGACTTCCCTGGGGTCGGGGGCGCTGGGGGGACTCTTTAGCTCCTCCTTGTATAAGGCGTCGATCCTGGGGGAGGTCAGGGGAGGTTAGAGATGGTTAGGGGAGGCCATGAGGAGGTTAGGGGAGGTCATGGGAGGTTAGGGGAGGTCATGGGAGGTCAGGGGAAGGTTAGGGGAAGTCAGGGGAGGTTAGGGGAGGTCATGGGAGGTTAGGGGAGGGTTAGGGAAGGTTAGGGGAGGTCATGGGAGGTCATGGGAGGTTAGGGGAGGTCATGGGAGGTCAGGGGAAGGTTAGGGGAGGTCATGGGAGGTTAGGGGAGGTCACGGGAGGTCATGGGGAGGTCAGGGGAAGGTTAGGGAAGGTTAGGGGAGGTTAAGAGAGGTTAGGGGAGGTTAGGAGAGGTGAGGAGAGGTCATGGGAGGTTAGGGGAGGTTAGGGAAGGTCAGGGGAGATGAGCGGGGGTGTGGGGGGAACGTTAATGTTGGTTGTTGATATTGTTTTCATTATTGTATTTTTTTGTTATGATGTAGATAATATTGATAATTATTATTATCATCATCGTCATCATCATTAATACACACATCACAAGTACTACCATCATCTTCATCACAAGCATCACTATACAATTCTATTCATATAACAACCCACAACACACACAAAAACATCCCCCCCGCCACCCCTCCCCCTAATTAAGCCCCCCCCCCAACACACACACACACACACACACACACACACACACACACACACACACACACACACACACACACACAACTCGCAAAGACGCACCAGGTGTCGACGTGCTTGCTGAGGGCAGCCAAGAGCAAGTCGGTGACGCAAGCTGGCAGGCCCTGGGTTGACAACTCGTGTTCAAAAGGCTTGCGAAGTTCATAGCAGTTCTCGACTGTGCGGAAACATCTGCGGGAATTTGAGAGATTATAAGAAATGTTTATTTTTTAGTCTATTATTATTTATTATTTATTATTTATTATTATTATTATTACTATTAGTATTAGTATTATTTTTGGGGGGTGTATACAAAATATGGGACTTTTACGATGGTTTACGTAAAAAAAAACGATGATGCAGTAGGCCTATATAAGGTACTTTTTAGTTGAGGAAATTCGGTATCTTTGTCTAAAGCTAATGTTTAAAAAGCATCAGCTATGAAATTGATGAGTAGTTTTAATTGTAGTAATAATAATATAGATTATATTAGTAACTGTAGTAGTAGTAGTAGTAGTAGTAGTAGTAGTAGTAGTAGTAGTAGTAGTAGTAGTAGTAGTAGTAGTAGCAGGAGCAGCAGCAGCAGCAGCAGTAGTAGTAGTAGTAGTAGTAGTAGTAGTAGTAGTAGTAGTAGTAGGAGTAAAATAATAGTATAGTAACAGCAGTAGTAGTGGTATTAGTGGCTGTAGTAGTTGTAGTAGTAGAAACATCAATAGTAGTAACAACATTATAAGTACTAGTAGAAGTAAAAGTAGAAGTAATAATAGTAACATTAGTAGTAGTAGTAGTAGTAGTAACAACAATAACAGCAACAGTAGAAGAAATACCAGACATTCATATCCATTTTTTTTAATCTCCTTCAACACAAAAGCAAAATAAAAGTTCCTTGCCTGAGGTAGTTTTCCAGCCTGGGAAGTTCGACGAGCAGAGAGGTGCTGGGGAAGGAGGTATGCAGCATCTCGAATTCCTTTGTTAACACATGTCGTACCCAAGAGGACAGGGTCGTGCAGATTTCCCGTCGCTGTGGGTGAAAAAAGCGAGAGGAATTTTTGTGTGTTATTTGCGAACTAAAGATTTTTTGTTTCTTGGGGTGGTGGTGTAGTTGTTGTTCATTGTTTTTTGTTGTTGTTGTTGTTATTCGTGTTTTTTTTATCGTTGTTGTTGTGGTTATTCGTGTTTTTTTATCGTTGTTTCTGTTGATTTTTGTTTTTTTTCATTGATTGATTGTTATTGTTGTATTTTCAGTTGCTATTTATATAACTGATATTAATATTAGTATCCTAAATGGCCTCTATCGTTATAACTACTGTCATTATCAAATTTCTTATCAACAGTAATGATCATCATTATTACATCATTAAATATAAATAATATCACATATAATTTAATGGACGAACATAACTATCAATATATTCAATGCAAAGAAAGCACATGAAATTATATAAATTGCGTACTAATTTCCAGTGTTCTGAATAATAACACTAATAAACAATAATAATGTTCAGTATGTGTGTTTCAAAATAGGACTCATCAGCTTATCTTTTGTTAC